GGTATTTGAGGGAGATTCTTGAAGCTCTGCTTCAAAATAGATGGATTGTTTCAGATTGAATCCTGAGGAGTAATCGTGACAACTTTCATGGTCAGATGCTGGAGAGCATCTGGAGAGCCTCAGCTCTGTATAGAGAATCTGTATAGAGAAAGTTTGTCTTGCTACATAGCTAAGTTCTGGCTCTCTTAAACATACTCACACACCATTATTTCATTTTCAAAGAAGTAAACCACATTTCAGACCTCTTCCATGTGACTGTCCTGCAGTTACTTAAAGAAATTATTGGTTCTTTTCACCAACCTATATTTGTCATTGTCTCCTCCTCTTTCTTGTTTCATATTTCTATGTTCTTATTTATGTCATATTTCTAATGTGTTAAATTTAACATACATTCTTTAAAAACAAAACTGTACAAAATTGTACACAGATTCATCTATAATCATATTTTGGGTTTGTTGTTTATTGAAATGTTCATGTTTGTTTAAATTCCTAATAAAAAAAGTTTAATTTTAAAAAGTGTTGTTGTTGTCTTAAAGTAGTGTATAACTTTCATGAACTGCTGCAAAGTGAAGTGAATAGAACCAGGAGAATGTTGTACACACTAACAGCAATATTGTATGATGAAGAATGGTGAATGACTTAGCTATTCTCAGCAATTCGATGATCCAAAATAATCCCAAAGAACTAATGATAAAGCATATTATCCTCCTCCAGAGAAAGAACTGAAAATGTTTAATATGAATGTATATGTAGAGTCTATATCAGATTGCACTCCATCTTGGAAAGGGAGGTAGGGAGGGAGGCAGAGAAAATTTAAAACTCAAAATGTTAAAAACTAAAAATAAATTAATTTTAAAAAAGAAATGATATTGTTTTAATACAGACTGAAGCATGCGATTTTTCACTTTCTTTTATTTGAATCTTCTTGTACAAATGACTAATAAGCAATGTTTTACATGATTACACATGTATAACCTATATCTGATTGCTTAAAATCTCAGGGAAAGGAGAGGGCAGGAAGGGAGGGAGAAATAGAATTTGGAACTCAAAACTTTAAAAAAAAGGTTAAAAATGTGTTTTAATATGTAATGAGGGAAAAACACACACACATATATACCCAGCAAAACTGAGTATAATCCGTCAGGGGAAAAAAATGGACATTCAGTGAAAGAGAGGACTTTCAAATATTCTTGATGAAAAGATCAGAACTAAGTAGAAAATTCAACTTTTAAGTAGAAGATTCAAGAGAATATATACATGTATATGTATATATATATATACATATACATATGCTAATAGTCACAGTTCTCCAATTGCGTCTTGTAGATCTCCAACTGGATGCCCTGTAGGTACCTCAGACTCAATATCTCAAAAGCAGAACTCATTATTTCCCTGAAACTCCCCTCACTTTCAAACTTCCTTAATATACATACATATATGTATACATATTTTAAAAAGTAGTCTATACTCACCACCTCCTTTCCTTTTTTCCCCTCACTTGTCAGTCCCTTTTGGCCTAGCTTCCAACCCCACAAGTATATTGAAAACAATCTTTTCAAGAGATATCAAAGACCTCAATTGTTAAATCCAATGGCCTTCTCACAGTTCTTATCTTCTTTGTCCTTTCTTGTAGTTTTTGCCACCAGTGACCATCCTGTGCTCTTAAATATTCTCTCTTGGCTTCCATGGTCACTGCCATCTTCTTTTTATAATACCTGTGTGCTTGTATATAATGTAATTAATCATTTTGTGCCTCAGTGTCTTTTCTCCACAGCACTCTGCTTTGGGGCCACTCTTCAACCTTACTTTAACTTTAGATTTGGGATCCCCAGAGGGTGAAACTATTATTCCCCTTAGAGTAAAAGTGTAACTCTGAGGTGTTGTGGCTTCTAATACTGTTCCTCATAAGTCTCCACCAGTGTGCTCTTCATTGGGTATCAATAAGTAGCTTCAATTATCCTTTGGCAAAGTTGCCAATCAACAAGCATTTATTAAGTGCTTACTACATGCTAGGTCCTGTGCTAAGCACAAGCACTGGGGATACAAAGAGGCAAAAATGGGCCTTCCTTCAAGGAACTCTCATTCTTATTGGTGAGACACTATGCAAAAAAAAGTACATACAAGGTATATATATATATATATATATATATATACACATATATATATACATATGTACATATATGTACATATATATATATAATAGATGAATAAAATCTGAAAGGGGAAAATGTTAGCTGGGGGAAAGGAGATCAAAAAAAAAGTGGTTCCTGCAGAAGGTGAGATTTGAGCTGAACTTGAAGGAAGCTAGGGGAACCAAGAGGTGGAGCTGTGGGGTGAGGGACTAAGAGAGGAACAGCTCATTCCATGCATTGGAGATAGCCAGTACAAGGCCATGGAAATGGAAGATGGGGTGTTTAAGGAACCATAAGTCGATCCCTGGAACTTTATTGCAGAGTGCCTGGAGGGGAATAAGGTGTACAAAGAATGGAAAGGACCAGGTTTTGAAGAGCTTTAAATGCCTAACAGAGGACTTTTTATTTGATCCTGGAGATTATAGCCACCAAAGCAGAGAAGTGACATGATCAGACCTGTACTTCAGACAAATCACTGTGGCACCTGAGTAGAAGATGTAATGGAGTGGAGAGAAATTTGAAACAGGGAGAAGAATCAGCAAGCTATTCCAGTAAGCCAAGAAAGAGGTGATGAGGGACTGTACAAAGGTAAGAATGTGAACAAAGAGGAGATATATAAAGGACAAGTTTGTAAGTTAGAAATGACAAGACTTGGCAATGGATTAGATATATAGAGTTATTAGAATGAGGAGTCAAATCATTGAGTTTATGAGCCTTGGAAATTGGGAATCTGTTTGACAGAAGTTAAGGAAGTTTGAAAGTGAGGGGAGTTTCAGGGAAATAATAAGTTCTGCTTTTGAGATACTGAGTCTGAGGTGCCTACAGGGCATCCAGTTTGAGATGTACAAGATGCAATTGGCGAACTGTGACTGTTAGTACAAATATTAGGGTTGTTATCCATGTGTTATTCATGTGTCATCCATGATATATTGAATTTAATCCCACTGAACTTAAGGGATCTGATGAGATCACTAAGTAAGATAATGTTCCAGGGCACAGGACAAAACCTTAGGAAATCCAGGATGGGAATAATGTGGAGGAAGTACTAGCAAAGTGGCTGAGGAATGGTTGGACAAATAGGAGAGCCAGGAGAGAAGAGTGACACATAAACAGAAGAAAATATATACCAAAAACAGGTGATTGACATTGTCAAAGGCTGCAGATAGGGTGAGGATTGAGAAAAGTCTAGTAAATTTGTCAGTTAAGAGATCACTGGTAACCTTGGAGAGGGCATGTTCAGTTACCTAACCAGATTACAGAAGGGTTTAGTATTGAGTACTGGAATCATCTACTGTAGATGACTTTCTCAAGTAATTTAACCACAAAGGTGAAGACATTAGAGCCAGTGGGGATGATTACATCATGTCAGAGTTTTTTAAGGATGAAAGAGACATGGGCATGTGTGTAAAGAAGTGGAAAGGATCCAGTGGATAGAAAATGAAAATGTGAGAATGAGAATGAGAAAGGCAGCAAATAGTCTCTTTCAGACTGAGAGTTCTATGAGGGCAGGAATGTGTCACCCAGATCAGACCAGGGATTTCTTGAGGGCAAGGGTACCTCTCAAATCAATAATCAACCAATTAACATTTATTAAACATCTACTATGTGCCAGGCACTGGTCTAAGTGCTGAGGATACAAAGAGGCAAAAGATAGTCTCTGTCCCCTAGGAGCTTATTGAGCACTCCTCTAAAAAAGAAAGTGTGCTTCATTTGTCCAGCATGAGTTTACCCACAATGAAACAATATGGCTCCTTTTCCTCCCTCCCTTTCAACCATATTAAGATCTACTTCAGTTATCCAGGGAGACTTGTTTCTGCCCAGTCTCATTTTCCTCAACCTACACATTCTTTCTCTGGAACAGACCTAGGACCCGGTCACGAATTTGCTTTGTCTTGATGCCATAGATTATAGGGTTGACCACAGGTGGAAAGAGTAGGTAGAAATTAGCAGCCAGGATATGGACATGAGGAGCAGCATGGTGAACCATACAGTGCAAGAATGACGAGAGCACTGCAGGTATGTAGAAGGCCAGGATGGCACCCACATGAGACACATGTTCCAAAGTCTTTACAGCGAGCTTCTCGAGATGCTAGTCTCAGCACTGCCCTCAAGATCAGAGCATAGGATAGAGCTACAAAGAATAGATCCATCCCACCTATGCCCAGTGCTACTGCAATGCCATAGATATTGTTGAACCATGTGTTACCACAAGCCAGTTTTACCACTGCCATGTGTTCACAATAGCAGTGGGTGATCACCCAGCCCCGACAATATGGAAAACGCCTGAGAAGGAATGGCAGTGGGGTCATGAGGGCCACAGCCCGGGCTGCAGCTGCCATCCCAATCCTGGCAATGAGTTGTTGTGTCAGCACTGTGGCATATTGGAGAGGCTCACAGATGGCCATGTATCTGTCAAAGGCCATGGCCAAGAGAATGGCTGACTCCATGATGGAAAAGGAGTGGAGGAAGAACATCTGGGTTAGGCAGGCGTGGAAATTAATCTCATGATTACCAAGCCAGAACAGGGCCAGCATCTTAGGCAATGTGGAGGAGGAGAGGACCAGATCAATGACTGACAACATGGCCAGAAAGAGATACACAGGCTCGTGGAGACTAACATCTACCCTGATGATGAAGAGGAAGGTGCAATTGCCCAACAAGGCCAAGGTGTAAGCTGAGCAAAAAGGGATGGGGATCCAGATGTGTAAATGTTCTAGACCTGGGATCCCCATCAGCAAGAAGGAGGTTGGGTGCAGGGAAGTGCTATTCATGATTGACATAGCCACTGTATGCTGGCCTCATCCACATCTGTCTTCTTAGTGGCTTCTCCCCTTTCAAGAGAGAATGCTCAGAGTGATCAGAATTAGACATATCAATCTCTGACATTCCAACTGTGAAGATGACCCCTGGTCCTCATTCCAAAACCTAATGGAAAATCAAGCAGTGAGTGAGCTGAATAGAAACAAAGGATAACATGAGGTCTCCTCCCTTAAGGAACTTGGAATATCACTAGGAATACAACATATACACACTTGAAAAGTTAAATAATACAAGGAATACCAAGTGAGACATACAAGCAATAAGTGCCATAGACTTTAGGAATAGGAAATGAATGCTATGGGCTGCAGTGTTCAGGAAGGGTTCCATTCAATATGTGGGACATCTACCATGTTAGTACTCTCCTGCAGAACCTGCAGTGGCTCCTTGTTGCCAAAATCATAGTAAGAGGAGTGAATGTTTTAGACTGAATTATCAGATTTAGCTGTCCATTTGGATCAGATTAACTTGGCAATTGTCAAAACACCACCTCCCATTGGGGCAGCTAGGTGGCACAGTGGATATAGCATGGGCCCTGAAGTCAGGAGGACCTGAGTTCAAATCTGGCTTCAGACCAAATACTTGACACTTACCAGCTGTGTGACCTTGGACAAGTCACTTAACCCCAATTGCCTAAAAAAAAAAAAAAAACACAAAAAAACCCCACCACCTTCATGGTCTATAGATTTCTTCTAGCCTTTTTTGGTCAAGCTACCAATTCTACCATATACATGGCAAAAACAGCATGCCCTCCTCCTTTACAGAGAAGATGGAGCTAGATGAGAATGTTTAAGTGAATTCCATTGAGTTTTTCCCTAGGATCATAGAATCACAGAATCTCAGAATCAGAAAGAATGTCAGTGGTCATCTAATCCAACCTGTACTTCAATAGGAATCTATGCTACCAGATCCCCAGTCTGACCAACCAGCATCCTCTTTAAGTCCTCCAGTGAGTGAGGGAACCTTCTTCTTCTGGAGGCAGCCTACTCTGTTCTTGAATAGTTTGGATAGTTAGAAGAGCTGAAATCTGTATCTTTGCAACTTCCACCCGGGGCTCCTAAGTCTATACTCTGAGGTCAAGCAGAACAAGTCTAATCCCTCTTCCCCATACCAGCCCTTCAAAGACTTGGAGTCATTATGTTCCCATCCCTTACCTCTGAACCCAAGGTTTTTCCAGGATAAAGATCCCCAGTACTTTCAATCAATTATTGAATAACATATTCTAAAGGGCCCTCACCAACTTGGCTTCCCCTGTATGGATAATCTCCAGTTAATTAATTTCTTTCCTAAAACATGGCATTTAGAACTAAACACAGTACTGCAGATGTGGTCTACCCAGGGCAGAAGATAGCAGTATTACACTCCCTGCTGTTCAGGATATTAACTTCTGGGTATGCCTCTTTCTACATCCTTCCATTCATTTTTTCTTTCCTTCCTATCTCAAATAAAAAGTGTCCTTCCTTCCTCTAGATAAACTTGTCCTCCCATATCATCTCTCTAGGGCCTTGAATAGCTTCCTCTCTTTGTCAAACTGCACAGGTCTCTCATATATTGAAGAAGGGGTACCTTAACCTGCTATTCTTTTAAGTTAATAATATTCTTTGACCCTTTCCTTTACTACTGATCCTTTCTGATAAACATAGTGCTTTGAACATAGTAAATATTTAATGGGCATTTGTTGAAAGAATGAATGATCCTACTCTGATAAGGCAGGATGATCCAGTGAAAAGAAACCTGGTTTTGGAGTCAGAACCTCTGTCACTTACTATCTGTGTGATCCTGGGCAACTCATTGAATTTCTCTGGCTTTGTTTCCTCATATGTAAAATTGGGCTGGATCATCTCTTAGGTCTGCACCACATATGGCCCATGGGCCACTTGCAGCCTGCCAAATGTATTTTTGATGACTCTCAAAAAATGTAGAGGATGTAAAGAAATTAAAGATATAACAAGTGCTTTGTCCATACCCCACTTAACCCACCTTCCACTAGTCACTACTGTGCCCTTCATGTAACTTGACTGGTGGGCTGCCACTGTACACACTCCCCTGCTTGTCACATGACCCATAGCAACCAACCATCATCAGCATGTCTCTAGTCTCAGAGGAGCAAGTGTAGTGTCTTTTCTCTGTGTTTTCAGTAGTTACTAAATGTAAACAGTAAGAAAACCTGAAAAATGTATTAAAGCTTGTATCACTTAGCCAAGAATTTTTTTAACATTGATGTGATTTCATGATTAATAAAAATCTTAAGTAATAAGTGTAATTAATTGATATTAGTTGATATTTCCTTTTTTAATATGGTTTATTTGCAAAATAGTTTATTCATTAATTATAACTTGGAAAGTGAACTGCTAAAAATCTATCTTCAGCCCAAAGAAGTTTAGCCTATTTTAATTTGGCCCCTACCTCCTACCAAGGTGTGCAGATCTGTCGTAGATCCTTTCTAGCTCTAAATTCAGCAGTGTATGATGCTGTGGTCTTTCACTGTTTGAGACTTTAAACTTAACCACTTATTTTGTTACAGTCCTCCATTTTCAACAACTGGTCTTCATCCCACAGAGAATAGGGACTGTGTGTCTCTTATTTCTTCAGCTTTTCCTTCCCCTAATGCCTAACACAGAGCTCTACTGCCAGGGGTCTCTCAATTAATACTGTGAGCTAATTGGCTGATAGAGCCCTTTATTGGAAAACAAGGTTCTTAACTTCTAATTGTGATGTGGGCTCCATTGACAATCTATTGAAGTTTATGGATCCCTGCTCAGAATAATACTTTAATGCATAAAGTAAAAAGACATAGCATTACAAAGGAAACCAATTCTATTGAAATCACCATCAATTTTTTAAACAATTTTTTCCTTGGACCCTGGGATAAGAACTCCTGTTCCAGAGCATTATGGAATTCTAGGGTTAGAAGCATTTAGTCCAAACTTTAATTTGACAGATGAGAGAACTGATGCCAAGGGAGGTTAAGAGAGTTGGTGAAGGATGCCCAGCAGTTCACGGTCAAGGTTTGGACTCAAAAATAGGTTTCCTAACTCCCATATCTTTCCCCACATTCAGTTGTGCTCTAGTCTGAAACATGTTACAGGGTAAAAAGATGGAAAGGAAAGAAGAGAGATTAATAATATCTGGAAAAACCTAAAGGCAGAAATGCTAGGCTTAGGTGGGGATGTAAATCAGGGAAGCCTTGTTGGAGGGGGTGAATGTTGAGTGGAGCAGGGAAGGAAAAGAAGGAAACGAATTGTTGAGAGAAAGGGAGGAAGGTATTCCAAATGGGAGTCTCAGGGTCTGAGGAGTGTGAGGCATGGGCTTTGGATGTTGAGAATGAGGGGAAGTTTTCAGACTGGAGCAGAAGCATAAGGCCATAGAAGACAGAGATAGGGGCAAGACCAGGTGAGGAGGCTAAACAAAGCCCATGCTGATAAATTCAGATTTTTCCTAAGTATATAGGAACCTCCTCCCTCAAAAATCAGACAAAGGTCCTGCACTGTACCAGCAACACAGAAACAAAGACAGATATATGGATACTGAGGAATCCCTGTGTACTCCTTTCCAATCTCCTACCCAGTCCCTTCATTTAAAAAAAAAACCAAAACAAAACACTTTTTCCTACTTAGAAAGTCCTATACAAACTCCAGCCTTCAGTTTGAGCTCTGATTGTGGTTTTGAGGGGGTAGTTTAGGGAAAACTGTGGTTGTCCACAGGGATTCCATCCTCCCAGGACAAGAATAAGATCCTAAATGCTTGGAACCTTCGATGATGAACTGGGAATTCCACAATACTGGAAACTGGGAATTTCCAGAAACCTTTCTGGAGTCCATTCCTATCTCATGTCACAGAAAAGTCTCACCTGGCCACAACCTAGCTCATACAAGCTCTCAGGATCTTCCTGCAGTTTAGGAAACAAAGGCAGAACACCTCTTTCTGCCATTTCCTGAAGATTCTTACTTACAATCCTTTTCTGCCTGAGCCTCTTTGGATCTAGACAAAAAGGGCCTCCTCTTGTTTATCTGGCCTCACTCAGCTATGCCACATGCAGTTGCCTATCAGAATTTCTCTTTCTAAGATGTTCTTAAGCTCTAAAGACAAGAAAGGCAGCATAGTACAGTGGAAAGAGGACTGGATTGGACATCAATGGACTTCAGGTCAAATCCTGCCACTGTCACTTTACTGTATGACCCTGGGAAAGTCATTTAAACTTCTCTGCGCATAGTTTCTTCAACCCTCAAATGAAGAGGCTGGATTAAGTAGCAACTAAAAAGTCCCTTCCAGCTTTAAATCCATGGTTCTGTGATTCTCCCTTAGGCTTGAGGGTGGGGAGAAAAGGCTTAGGTAAGAATGGAATCACTATCTTGTAAAAGATCAGTCTCCCCATCTTCCCAGGCTTCATTGTGCCTGGACAGTATAACTTAGATAGTGTATCCCATTATGTCCCCTCCTACTGCCCCACATGCCTCTAATTCATAGGATCTTACACCTTGTTTATGCATAACTGTTTGCATGTTGTCTTCACTGTTAGGGGCACTAGGTGGTACAGTGGATAGAAAGCTAGACCTGCAATCAGGGGTTCAAATCTGCCCTCAGATGCTTACTAACTGTGTAACCCTGGACAATCACTCAACCTCCACCTGCCTCAGTTCCCTTATATGTAAAATGAGGATAATAATAGCACATAACTCCCAGGGAGAGATATATTTGTAATATGAAAGTGCTACATAACTACTAGCTACTATTGAAGGCAAGGACAATTTTTGTCTTTCCTTTTATCCTTAATGCTTGTTATAGTGCCTGACACCTAGCAAGCCATTAATAAATGCTTGTTACCTGACTGACTGGGACTATATCTCAGGATCCTGGGAACCATATTTTAGAAGGGCCATGGAAAAGCTTGACTGCATACAGAGAAGAGCAGGCAGGATTGGGAGCTAACTCTTGAGATTAACAGTTGATGTTCTGTGTTGGT